GCGACTTATGGATCCATTTATTGCTGGTTCAGTTACTGTTTTTCATTTAAAACTTGAGTAATACTAATTGTTCAGAGACACGATCACTCAGTCAACAGTAAAATATCCTCATTAATGTTCAATAATGGTCAAATCCACTTTTATTTTGTGATTTATGAATAATGTCTATTGACTTGGGTCGCAAAGGTTTGTGACTTTTAAAATATGGATCCCCAGAAAAAAAGTTTAGGAAACACTGGTTTAGATCATTTTCATTTTTCTTACATATCTGCCAGTGGTGATAAACTGCCTCTGTGGAATTTGGCACACTATATCCCAAATATATATTATCAAACACTCAAAAAAATGTCCAAGGACACAACAGTTGTACAACCTTTTAGCCTTCTTGATCTGCAAATCTAATTAAAGATGTTTATGTCCACATCAATCCAGTTAATTACCTACTCATTAATCAAAAACATAAATCTAGGTTTTCACATCTATGCAAATTTTGATCAAAAACTATAAAAACCCTATAAACTCAAATAGGTGAGAGGTTTACCATAACACTAGACACTAGAGTACGTCATTGTTGTGCCTAATCCACAAAAAGAAGCGGCTCGAAGTTTCCTGACACGTTTTGAAGAGCCAACACTGAGCCTCTTCATCATCACTACCAGAGCACAGCTGCTCGTCCAGGATGACTCAGCCTGTGGACGTGTTCCAGGTGATAGACCCGTCCTAAACGTGAGCTTTATAAACAGGTGAATGTGACAGGCGTGCACAGATAACCCCGCGCACACGGAGGGGGCGGGCACATCACATAGGTAATTAAATCCTGTCTATGGAGCAGCTCTAATCTTAGCTCTCTTTTCTCCGTTCAACTGGAGTGTGAGAGGCTAATATTAGCTCCTGCTTGGTACAGCAATAATTTCAGAGCGTGCTAAGCTAAGGTAGTAAGTAACACATTGAGAAGAAGTATTATCTAAAAGATGCACTGTGTAGCTTTTTCTGTTTGGGATCCGCCACCTGCTTGTTTCTATGGAGATGTCACTGCTCTGGCTGCAATGTTCCACAGTATGACATTAAACTTTACTTTTATCTATTTACAGGTGGCTTTATAGCTCAAAAATGCCTAGAAAAAGGAGAAGGGTCTGGCTGCAGAAGTATGAGGCGAGTGGAGCTCTACTCTAGACCGGAAATACGTGACCGCCACTTTTATAAATGAGGAAGTACATATGTCTTGAACGGACTAATGTTGTCTCTTTTAAGCTAAAACAAAACATAACACACTTGAAGAATGACCTGAAATTTTTCCCAGCGCATTGGGCATATATATATATATTTTTATTTGTTTATTTATTAGTTTATTAGTTAATTTATTCCTATATATTAGAGCTGTGAAATTGCCCCTTTTATATGTGAATATGTTTTTATGTTGAGTTTTTAATACATTTATTTTTATTTTCATGTGAACTGTTTACTTTTATAAGGTGCTGTCTCTAAAAAAAATGTCTCCAACGGATACTGCCGTCTTGGCCAGCTAGATCCAACCTATTATATTATATCTATTTTAATAGATCTATGGATCCCACTTGTAAAAGGGGTATTTATTCATCTTAGTGGGACTATTCAAGTGTATAATGATGTTAATCATTGGGAGAATAAACATGAGAATTAAAAAAAAAAAAAAAGTTTGTTTGACCAGAAAGTGAAGTATTTTCTGACAAATAATTTGTTACCCATGGCCTGTAGGCTACAGGATGTGATTTGCCGAAAAACCAGAGGGAGGTTATTTTATAAGAGTCTAAGCAATATCAGTGGAGTTGCATTATTCGTTATGAGGTCCTTGTCCCCACCAGATAATAGTTAATAATTTAGCAAAAGACCCTATAAATCGGACTCCAAATATACGTGCGAACTAATTCCAGAACGTTAAAACATTTTATAAACTACACTACACACAATCTTATTTAATCAATATTTTCTGTTCTAGAGAGGAGCTGCACTAAAAAAAGAAAAAACTCTCTGGTCCGGTTTGGATAAAAGTGGAGGTGACGTACTTCCTCATCTATAAAAGTGGAGGTCAAGTGTTTTCAGTCTAGAGTGGAGCTCCACACTAAAACAGACATTCTAACTGTGAGTGGGCTTGCCTCTCCACAGATTTCACCTGTAACTTGGGTTGGTTTGATCTCCATGCAGATAGAAAGGTTTAATACTATACGGTGAAACATTCCAGATGTAGCAATAACATCTCCATGGAAAAAAACATCTGATGGACCCTTCACCAGAAAAGTTACACAAGGCATCTTTAATGAGGGACGAGGGATGGACACTTTGTAACATGAGCTGTCCCTCGCTGCGTTACTTCCTTATTGATCATAGTAATTATTGATTTCCTATGGCTAATACACATCACACAGCGAGCACCAGATGATGTAATACACACACAGTTAAAACCCGCTATGCCCTCACTCACTTCCACTGTACCTTATCATTAACCACCAAGAAATAGAGGAAGGAACAAAAGAGCTAGTGTCAAAGTGATATTTTGCTGTTAAAAAAAAAACACATTTGATCAGGAGGGAAAAAAAAGCTTTTACTTTTCACAGTGATTAGACAAAAGAGGAGAGCAGTCTGACTCATAGAGAGACACAGTGAGACCAAAGGATGCTCATGAAAAGATGGGATGCCCCCGCCCTCCTCCTCTTTCGAGTTTCCTACATTTGGTGCATGAGTGATTGAGAATGGCCCATAAAGACATAAAGATATCAGGAGGATCCAATCATATGAAAGTGGATTTAAGACTAGTCCTGAGCTTGTGTATTATTATATTATCGGCTAGAAATGATATGTAAAATTACAGAAAATTATAAATGTTTTGAAGATGATAAATCTGAATGTCAGGTTTATCTTGAAGTTATACGATAAACAATAATACTGAAACTCATTTATTCCACTGACACAAAAACCCAAGAGCAGATTTAAACCACAAAAAATTATTCTAAATGCACAATATTAAACAGCAGAATGAAACAGTTTTGCATCTGTAATGAGTCAGAAGTGACTCATTCAAACTTTTATGGCTTATGTCTTGTCATATTACCAAATAATAGCCACAAATTCCCAAGAAGTGCAAAGATAAATATTGATCTTAAAAATATATAGTTCAATTTTTTGTTGATATAGTAATTATGACAGGCCTAGTGTCATTCATAATGAATTCTTAAAATGCTGCCAATGATGACTAAAATTTAACTGGAACAAGCTGTTGTTGTTGTTGTTGTTGTTATTGTTGTTGTTGTTGTTGTCTTTTCACATATGTAGTATGTTTTGGTAGATTTCTAGCCTGATTCATCAGCTGGTTTCACTTCATAGAAACTGTTTGACCTCACAGCATTGGAATTTGTTCTCTTGATGGTAGGCAGGTACTTTTTTCATTTAACCAATCGCTGCTTTTTGGTTGTGATGTATGTAATGCTTTTCCCAAATTCTGTAGGAAGAAGGGCAATAACGTCTTTCCCCTTGATACAATTCATCAAACTTTCTCTCTATTCTGGCTTTAAATCCTCGATCTCAGAAATCGTTGCCAACACAGAATGTATGGCTCTTCACTGATTGGCTGGTGCCCGGACTCACACTTCTGGGGTTCTTGCAAACCGTCTAGTGCATTCAGATTCCTGACCTAATCGCTGGAGAGAAATGAAATTGAGCGGAGTCACTAGGTGGCACCAGCCTGGCTAGTAAATTTCTGTTGGATTGCTAAAATGAAAAAAAACAGCTACAAAATGTCATGGCAATACATTTTGAGCTTTTTAATGGGGCATATTAAAGCACACATAAAATCAAGTTTGAAAGGTAGGATAATATCAGATAGGATCATTTTAATCAGAGCCATTATTGCTGTTCAATAAATTAATTATAATGACATTTTACACCATATTCTTATCACATCTGTGTGCTGACAGAGCAAAGTACACGCATATGTAGGACACTCCACTGTATTTAGCTACACATTTGTCCTGCTTCCTCATATTCTGCACCGTTACTATTTAAAAAACTGAAGAATAATTTCAATTCTCATTTACTGTTCTCAGTCAGACAGTCAATCACTTCTATAGTATCCGTTGCATATTTTACAATTTCAAACCAGTTTTGCCAGTAACAATCAATCAGTGGTAACTACATTACAAGCCACCTATACAACACTCCACTCTTCTTATTACCTCTGCTCTATCTGAAGCTGTAGATCTGCTTTAAAACTGGTCACATGACTTTGTTTACTGCAGATGACACATATAAAACTGGGTTCTACATGTGCCGACATTCCCCCCCACAATATCCACAGAGATACATTTTCTAATACACTTGTGCAATCATATTCCCATTCAAAATTGTACACATTACCTCATAGTGTTGCTTCACCACAACACGCTATTGTCTTGATTAAATTACAGTTAAATATAACCCTCCATGTGTCATCAATCATAGCATTTTTTTATACATTCTTATTAAAATTCAGCCATAACTTTAGCTTGCAAAATAAATACTAAACAACTCAAAATAATAATATGAACATAATAATATCATGTAAGAATACATTTCAACAGTAATAAATGCTAAAACATTACACAGTTTGAACCAACAAACAGTAAAATATGAAAATTAAGCTTAAGTCGTCATTTGTCATCAGTGTAATATAGACCTATGTACTATGTCCCACCTATCCATACACTATAAATCAATGAAATAGGATGCAAAAAACACATTTTCATCCCTGCCTTCACTGTGCAACCTGCTCCAGACCAGTACAGAAGCACATGGACCTATTAGCTTTTGTATCAGATGTACAACAGCTAAAAATAGATGGATAAGGCACCTGCAATAGTGTTGGATGAAACTACTACGTTACATTCATACCAACCCATTGTACATTCACGCTAGACCTTGATCATAGTTGTCAATGCTGAAAACACCTATAGCATTTTTCACACTTTATATCTAAATGTTTCTGCACTTACCTCTCCTCCCTTCGCTGCTGCCAAATCCATACACCATTCACACCTCCCACTCGTTCTCTTTTCATGTCTTTCCTACTTTCTCTCATCCTTCGCTCCCTGCTCCCCAGTGAAGGAGCTATACGCAGTGCTGCTCCCTCTCTTCGCAGACCTGTCCGACCAGTGCACCCAGCCTGCAAGGCCCTCCCTTTTCTACCACAGCAGCCACTTATCACACAAGCGTCCTCTGAAGCCCCGCCCCCCTGCCCCCCCTCACCTCCTGCCTCCTGCACATGCTGCTGAGTCAGTGTAGTGGAGTAGTGAGGGACAGGCAGGCAGCTTTAATAGGGTATTGCTTTAATGCGCCTGGTGCTGGTACATTGCCTAGTGTTTATACTGAAAACAGTGAATGAGAGTTGACACGGGAGCTGGACTTTGTGAGGTTGTGATACTAAATGTCAGGCATGTGCGAACCACACCCCCCAAACAGTACAGTATTATGCAAATTCAAAGGCTAAATGTGCTGGCTTCACAAGAAAGTGAAGTTTGGCTTTAAATAAGGAAATATCAATGCTAAGGATGTAACAGTAACCGAAATATTGTGAAATCGTATCGTCAAAGTTCTCACAATGATATCGTGGACCATCACTATATATCGAATTATAAGTCTCTTTGCTTAAATGAAGAGTTATGGTGCAGCAACAGCTAAAAAAAGACAGAGGGAACTACATAGACCATGATCCTTTGCTCTATTTCAGTGCAGACTACATGAAGAAATAACAGTTCTAAGCACTTTTAAGTCTTAGTTCTTTGGATTAAGTCTTGTCAAGGCATTTTAAGAGGAAAAGTAGCATATTCACAGTTCTGCGTCCGCAAAATATCGCAATAAATATCGTACCATGAGGTTCATAACATGACGATATCATGAGACTTGGATATCATTACACCCCTAATCAATACTAAAGACAATAAAGGAAAACTAAATTAAAGGGTTCATATTATGCTCTTTTCTTGTGTGCGCTATAATGTTCATTTCTTATTAAAACCATCACTGGAGATGTTTGTTTCATTCACACATGTTTAATACAGAAACCATGCATATTTAGGGTGAGTTACTCTCTCAAAGTGACTCTGTTCCACCTTATGATGTCATGTGGTAATACAGGAAGTGCTCAACTGTGTTTTTAAACTGTATACACCTTCACTAGAATCCTGGAATTGACCATCTCTACTAAAACTAAATACAAAAGGTTAACTACATGACATGTTGAGATCTGGAGATGTAGACAGACTAATAAACCTGTTTGAGCATGTTTTTAATGAGGTAACATGATTGCAACATGGCTTAAAGCTCATCAGAATACATTTTGTGTAATATAGGACCTTTAAATAAACTTGTTGGAAAAGGTCAGGGTGGATCAACAAAGTAGTCATTCTTTTGTATTAGTAGAATGAGTCAAAGGCCAATAACAATATGCGAGATCTATAATTAGGGGTGTAACAATATCCAAGTCATGATACGATATTGCCAGGGTATGAACCTCACAGTACGATATTTATTGCAATATCATGGGAAAGCTCCCGATATGGCGAGGAGGCTTCCAATTAGGGATGTAACAATATCCAAATCTCTCAGTACGATATTTTCACAATATACGTCTCATGGTATGATATTTATTGCAATATTTTGTGAAGGCTATCAAAACTGTTAATATGCTACTTTTTCCTCTTAAAATACCTCGACAAGACTTAATCCAAACAACTAAGAGTTAAAAATGCTTAGAACTGTTATTTCTTCATGTAGTCGACACTGAAATGATGCAAAGGATCATGGTCTATGTAGTTCCCTCTGTCTTTTTTTAGCAATTGCTGCACTGTAACTCTTCATTTAAGCAGAGACTTGTAATTCGATATATTGTGATGGTCCACGATATCATTGTGTGAACTTTGACTATACGATATCACAATGTTATGGTTATTGTTAGATCCCTATCTATAATATATCTGATACAGTTTTAGCATTTGTTCTTCTTGTACATTCCCGCTACAACAAAGAAACATCTCCAATATAGACTCACATTTTGTTTTATTGTACCTGTTTTAAATATTGTGGATTGTTTTTGTTGCTAATGCTTGGAAGTGCCACTCATGAATAAGATGAGCCACTGCTTCAAATCCAGTTCTGTAACTTTTCTATTGTTATATAGGTGACGAAGAATTTCCTGTGAAGTGCACCATTACCCCTTACTTACTGAAATGAAACAACGTAGAGCAACTTGATCTCAAAGTACAGACAGCTTTTCATCATCTCCATAATATTTCTGCATATTTCAATCGCAAAATACCTACACATTTATTTGTAAGAGTTCACCCGTACAATTTCTTTTCAAATTGTAGCCTTAGTAATTTAGTATGAACCATCATTTATAAGATCCTTGAAATGAAACAATGTAGAACAACTTGTTCTCAAAGTACAGGCAGGTTTACATCCTCTCCATAATATTTTTGCATATTTCAATGGCAAAATACCTTCTCATTTATAGAAGAATTCAACCACAACTTCTTTTCAGTCTTTAGCCTTAGTAATTTAGTATGAACCATCAGTGACCTACACCAACAGTGTAGCAGTGGTCTCCAACCTTTTATCCACCACGTACCGGTCTTATATCTGACAATATTGTGCGGACAGGACGGGGTTGTTTTAGACCTGTTTTAGACCCTGTTTTAGACCCTGTTTTAGACCCTGTTTTAGACCCTGTTTTAGTCCTGTTTTAGACCTGTTATTAGTCTTGGTTTAATCCAGGTTTAGACCTGGTTTAGTCCTGTTTTACACCTGTTTTAGATATGTTTTAGTCCTGGTTTAGACCTGGTTTAGTCCTGTTTTACACCTGTTTTAGACATGTTTTAGTACTGGTTAAGTCCTGGTTTAGACCTGGTTTAGTTCTGTTTTACACCTGTTTTAGACATGTTTTAGTCCTGGTTTAGACCTGGTTTAGACCTGGTTTAGACCTGGTTTAGTCCTGGTTTAGACCTGGTTTAGTCCTGTTTTACACCTGTTTTAGACATGTTTTAGTCCTGGTTTAGACCTGGTTTAGACCTGGTTTAGTCCTGGTTAAGTCCTGGTTTAAACCTGGTTTAGACCTGGTTTAGTCCTGGTTTAGACCAGGTTTAGACCTGGTTTAGTCCTGTTTTACACCTGTTTTAGACATGTTTTAGTCCTGGTTAAGTCCTGGTTTAGACCTGGTTTAGACCTGGTTTAGTCCTGGTTAAGTCCTGGTTTAAACCTGTTTTACACCTGTTTTAGTCCTGGTTTAGTCCTGGTTTCGTTCTGGTTTTGAGGTGCGGCCCGCAATAACATACGGTAGGGGGGACAGTCCACATGGGGTACAGGTTCCAAATGATCCACGGCCCAGTACTGGTCCCCGGCCTGGGGGTTGCAGATCCCTGATGTAGAACAACTTGATCTCTATGTACAGGCAGCTTTACGCCCTCTTTATAACATTTCTATATATTTCAATGGAAAATTACCTTCTCATTTGTGTGCAAGATTTCAGTCATGGTACAGTTTCTTTTAAGTCTGTAACCCTTTCGTAACTTAGTATGAACTATCACTTATAAGACCCCTCCCAGTGCATCATATTACAGTGGCATGATTATGAGTGAGGCAGGCTTGGTGAATATAAAGTTCGATAGAATGGCTCGCCCCCACAGACGAGCACAGAGGCTTGTCAATAAAAGTCAGCCCCTGCATAACTCTGCTGCTTAATAGAGCATGAGGACAGTACTTATATTAGACAAACAGAATGCACGAAATAAACAGAGACAATAACTTAAAGGTGCAATGCAAAACTTTTCTGGTGGAGGGTCCGTCAAATGTTTGTCTTCACGGAGATATTATTGCTTTCTTGGGAATGTTTCACCCCATGATAATTAACATTTCTATCTTTATGGACACCAGACCAAGATACAAAATATAATTAAATAAATGTAAATTAGAGCTGTTTAATGTCATACTATGGATCATTTCAGGCAGAGTGTGACGTGTCCATAGAAACAAGCAGATGATGGACACTCAAACAAGTTGCATAATGCATCTTTAGGCAATATCAGGCTTATAATAAATTGCCATTGGATTAGTGTGATTTGTATATTTGATAGAGCTGCAAATTAACTGCAGTCAAATTAAAAATGCCTACAATCATCATTGTAGTTGCAGTGTCTGAAATTAGGTAATACAATGTTGTCTGCAGGAAATATCTGGTTAGCCAGGCTGGCACCACTAGTGCCTCCATTTCATTTCTCTCCAGTGATTATGTCAGGAATCTAAATACAATAGACTGTTTGCAAAACCCCCGGAAGTGCGAGTCCGGGCACCAGCCAATCAGTGAAGAGCTGTATATTCTGAGTTGGCAACGATTCCCAAGATTGAGGATTTAAAGCAACAAAGAGAATGCTTGTTGAATTTTATCATGGGGAAAGACATTAATGCCCTTCTTCCTACGGGATTTGGGAAAAGCTTAATATACCAGTTAGCCCTATTAGTGACGCATTACATATGTCACGACCAAATAGCAATGATTGGTTAAAGAAAGTACCCGCCTACCGCCAAGCAAACAAATCCTTAGCTGCGAGGTCAGACAGTTTTCACAAAGTGAAACCAGCTGATGAATCAGGCTAATATCCGGTCCCCATGAGGCCTAATGTATTTTTGACCCCAAACATCTTCTGAGATGCATGCAGTTCTTCTTTCTGTCTTTTCTTATTTCATCAAAATCTAATCACAATTGAATATCAGTTAAAGGTCCTATATTACACTTTTTTTTTCCTCTTGTGAGCTTTAAGCCATGTTAGAATCTTGTTACTGCTTAAAAACAGACCTGGAGTTGTGTTTTGTTTTATTCACACATGTTTGAGTAAACCCGCATTATTATTCTGTCTATATTTCCAAAGCTCAAAATGTACTGTTCTACCTTGTGGTGTTGTGAAGCATTAGTTTTCAAGTTAACAGCTACATTTTACCTTTTGTTCAGTAAAGATTGGCAATTCCAGGGCTGAAATTATCCAAATGATTCTAGTGAATATGTATGGAGTTTCAAAACACAGTGCACACTTCCTGTATTATCACATTGCACATTTTTTCTGTGTGAGTGAAGA